TTCATCTGAATGGTAACTATTATAACTGTGGACAAAGGTATTCATTCCTCTGTCATTAGTTTACCTGCAAGTCAGGGGAGGTGTTGAACTGTGATGAGAGAGCTCTCTTCAAATCGTTGTCCTCTACCTGTTCCATCTTTCTGCAGAAAAAAGCAGGAAACAGTGTAGTTTACATACTGCGGTAGGTTAAAGTTAGTATGAGTCCATTAGGATTCATAAAGAAGTCACACTGAAGGTAACTGAATACATGTTTAATCCTGGGGGCGGATCAAAAATGTTTGGTGTTGTAAACTTCATGTGCACCTGTAAATACATGTAGCCGCTTTCACGTCTATAAACAATCCTGAATTAAACACTGACTGCCCCCTCTTTTGATCGAGCTAGCCTGTTAGCCTGTTAGCAGCACAGCTGACTAGCGGCTCCTGTCAGCTGGTATTTGAATCATGACAAAGTTTAACAAAGGTCTGTTTACTTTTATGAAAACAACTTAACTATGTCACTTCAAAATGGTTACTTCTAAAAATAAAAACGTACCTGACAGGAGTTATTTTTGAGACATAAGGAACTGACACCGAGTACGTTTTCTCTTCGTGAGTTAGCGCTAACTTCAGTTGAGCTAACAAAACAACACAGCAGCCGCCTTCTGTTTGAAACAGACCAATCGGATTCAAGTTGGAACAGCACATGCGCAGTTTGCTTCTTCTTCTTCTTCTTCTCTGGGATAGCCTAAAGTTGCATAGCGCCACCTAATGTACGAGAGTGTATTTCATCATGTCACTTACCTTCCCTAGAATTTAAATTCTGCCTGCCAACCTTGTGTATGGAGGACGAGATCTGACAGAAGTATTTAGTCCCCTAAATAAATAAATGTATAAATAAATGTATAAATAAATACTGGAATAAATAAATAAAAGAATGAATAAATAAATGCATGAATAAATAAATAAAAACTGGTAAATAAATGGAACATAAATAATTGAATTACTTCTACATTTATTTATTTCCACATTTATTTATTTCTACATGTATTTATTTCCACATTTATTCATTTCTACATTTATTTATTTTCATATTTATTTATTTCTACTTTTATTTATTTCCACATTTACTCATTTATACATTTATTTATTTATTTATTTATATATACTTCTGTCAGATCTCGTCCTCCATACTTGTGTAATACAAGAACGACAAAAGAGCCCTCCTCCTGACAGCTCTTATCCCCTCTCCTTCTCCCTCTGTGCCCAGTATTCCTCTCATATTCCATTCACGCCCTGTAGCTCTTATTTTCTCTTTCAATCTCTCTCTCCCAGTTGCATATTTATTACAATGTAAAACTATATATTAGCCTATACATTTTCGCAGTTTACTCAATAAATACAAAACAATGTTAATCGAACAAGAAAGTGTAAGTGTAAAGTTAGGCTACCCATTTAATAGACAGAGTAGAGTAGACAGACCCTGTCAGAGAGCTTTGTGTTCTTGAAAAATTAAAGGTTTGCTTTCTAGAACTAAAGCTTCCTCAGGCCTTAGATAGCCCACCCAGACCAAAGTATCTTTTCCTCGCTATCATGGCATTCCTGTTTGCTCCTGTAAAATAGTCTTATGGAGTCTTATATTTACCTGGTCTTTGATACCTGAAAAAAGCTCTTTTGTTCTTTTAATGATTTAAAGATTTGAACCACAAATGCAGGTCAACTATCAGGGCTTTCATTTCTTGTGTAAAAACTGAGGGTATGGCACATGCTTCTCACATGTTATGTGCCATGCAAACATTTTAAAATCCAGGTTAAAAGGATTCCTGTTTTCGTGTGTCACTGAATTACCCTTACAACCAATCACTTTATTTTTTATTGTATGAAAATGAATATAACATTCATTCATTGTTTCTTCTACTTTTGCCGTCATTGTTTTTGTAGTGCTATTTTCTGTTGAGGCTGCATCATGAAGATAACAAACGGTATTCCTTGTAATTTTCTGTGAAAAGCAACTTATCTTGCCATGACTGTTAAATAATGCTTAATGCAAAGTAAGAAACAAAGTAACCAACGACGTGACTGCTTTTTTTGGCCAATAGAACCAGTTACATGTGAAAACACAGCCTGGTTTCGCAAGTTTACTGGTTTCAGGTTCTTCTTATGCAGGCATGCAGGTAGAGTAGGAGGAGGGAACTGAGGAAGTTTCAGTTTGAGCTCCTTTATGTTAATAATGCATATAGGTACAAACCCCCCTACAAAAGGTTCCCTTTGCCCAATTCTGGATAACTTCAACAATTTAGTTTAAAATTCACATTTAGCTGCATGCGCAAAATATTTTCTTAAAGTCAACTCAAGTAAACTCAAGTAAACAGTCAACATCAAAAATGTATCTGTGGTTTCCACATAAGAATCAGCTGTTGTCCCCACAATTTAGAACAAGTCTTTAAAATCTTGATGTATAGACTGTCAAGTTACAATGAGATTAAAAATGTAAGTGAGCAAAACTGAAATATTCAGATCTGACAAGTTACTAGCAGGTTGTGATCTAAGTTCAATAAAAGTTGCATCTTACATCCTCTTTATACACCAGAATCAGAACCATAAGAATCAGAATCTGCTTTATGGGCCAGGAATGCTTACACACACGAGGGATTTTACTTCAGTGAACTGTGCTCTCTATGTACAAAAGTACAACATTAAATATCAACAATAAACACAAAATAAACACAAATAAGCAAAGACTAATATGTACAAGACTAAATAATATAATAGTGCAGTGGTGAGGTGCAAATGTAGTAAACATGATAATAAAAATGTACTTATGTGTATGGTTGTTAGAATTGGTAATTGTGCATGTTTAATGTCATTTCCACTGTGATAGAGAATGTGAAATCAGTTAATGATTCTTCAACCATGAGTGTGAGAGCTGTTGCAGGTGTTAGATCTTATGATCGGATGCTTCAATTTCCCTCGGGATGAATTACATTTTTAAAGAATTAAATGAAGTATCTTGTATTAAGTCAAATGCGCATGAACCTGAAACATGCATAACTTGCACATTTAGTCTGTCTGTATTTTTCTACCATGCCATCTCCCTAGCTCATAATTATGTGCAGTTTTACCTCCTTATTTTTCACACAGTTCAATCAGCAGCGTTGGTTCAGCTGTTAAAAAAAGCGGCGCTCTAACTCTCCCTTCTGCAGGACCCATTTGATAGTCTTTTTATTCATTTGGACTATGCAAGCCTGGCTTGAGTCAGTCCTGAATAATTAAGGCTGGATTGCATTCATGGAACGACTTGAGACTTAATTAAGAAATGGTGTTAGTTTCTGTTTGACTTTTTCAAGTGAGCTTGGATTTCTTTAGCTACGTTGATGGAATACCCCTCAGGGCCCGTTCCTCGTCCGTAACTATCTCAGATAGCTGGATCATTTCAGGATAACCTGACGTCAGTCAAATTCCAACAATTTTTTCCTTTTGTCATCTCAAAACCATTAGTGGCTGTGCACTCAGGAGTGTTTGCATGAAGCGTTTGTGCGCTGAGAAGAAAAGTGCTGCATGTCCGTCCTGTCTCCATGACAACAGTCTGTTGACAACGGCCGCTGTATGACAGACACGGCTCTGTTACTTTTTACTACATGTTTGATATTTGAGAACGTTTTTTGCCCCAGCAGACAAAGAGCAAAAGGATGTGAGTACAAGATACGATCCGTACAGCGCCTTTCTGAAAAATTGAAAGATTTTCAACTTGAGCGCTCGGAGCGGTGCAGTACTGCCGTAAAGGAATGGATTGATTTAGTCTAAATACCACTCACAAGGATCAAGATATGAGGATTACACTTTCCTTCCCTTACCCCCCCTGCATCAAGCACACTGACACTGTGTCCTCCCGTTAGTGAATTAGGAATTATGAGGGACATTCATCTTCTGATAACACACAATGAACATACACAGAATCAGTACACTGATGCAGCTATATATAAATATATAAAACACAGCGTAGTCAATTTAGTAGGCCTAGTAACCATAGACACTAATGAACCATAATAATCATGATAGAAAATCATTAATCAGTAAATTACTTTTTTTTATTAAATATGAGGTTACGGCAAACACTCACAAGTAAATATATAGCCTAATACAGCAAACATTATTATTCATATTCTTTACACTTATGCATGTGACCCACTCACAAAAATATATTTTAAATGACATGAAATGTATACCCTTTTTTTTTTTCTTTTTTTTTTAAATCTGTATAATTGATCATTGTGAAAGGAGGCAAGGGTGAAGCTTAGGTAGCTTAATGTTGGGTCTTTGTTCAAAAATAGACCAAAGAGAACAGTGTAGACATTTCTCTATTTGAAAAGTGTCTTGAGATATGTTTTGTTATGAACTGGCGCTATGAAAATGTATTGATTGAATGATTGATTTGTATCACCTTATCTTACACAAAGCACTTGGTACCTACCCCAGAAGGTTTTGAGAATCTAAAGCTTTAAATCCTGAATTCTGGTTGTATCTTCATGCACCACTTTGTCATAACATTGTCTCTAATTTCTAAAGGGTAAAACTAAATCACTCACTGTTTTTATCAAAATAAAAAATGTCTTGCTTTATCTTGCGTGAATTTTCATATTCCACTTCTAGCCAGATTTGGATTGCCATTATTCACTTGGTAGTCTAATAAATGTTATCCATAAAAGAAAGAAGGCTTTATTACTCAATCAACCATGAGACTCTTCATCTTTTGACCACAATTTTGACGCACTTCATGCTGGTTCCAATTTCATTCGGGCCAAGGTTTGGATAATGTTGCTTATCTGCACTTGTTAAATTATACAGTAGATGGTTTAAGAAACTTGGCATTCAAGTTGTAAATAGTTCTACAATGAAACCCAGCCATTTTAAGAGCAAAGCATTCTTACAAGGGGAGGGGCTGCTTGTCTGACTCAGTGACTACTTTAGTGAAACAGCAGAACGCAAACATCAGCTTGTGGTTGAAGCAAGTCAACCGTTTGATCATGGCTGTGAACGTCCCAGGAGTGATAGCAATAGTGTTCTTTTACTTGCTGGTTCTGGGAACCGGCATCTGGGCTTCTTTCAAGTCCAAAAGGGAGGCGAAGAAAAGTGCAGCTACTGGAATGGATATGGCTCTGCTGGGAAATAGGAGAATTAGCTTGGTAGTGGGAATCTTCACAATGACAGGTGAGGATAGCACAACTTACAAAAACTACAATGACAACTGCAGGTGAATGAAACCATTGTAGATATTTATGCAAATTATGTTACACTAAACAGAACACTGATAGCACTGAGCATAATTCTAATGCAAGTAGAGCATAATATCTTAATGAAAGATAGGTTACTAAATATGAGATGACCCTTTAATAAGTGATTCAAAGTTGTGCACAGTGGAGAATAAATTAAAGAACTATATAACCTCTTCTTGTCATGATTTGGTCTTATTTAGTTTTGTATTTCAGTATTTAGGTTTTAATTTCTCCTGTTTATCCAAGTGTTGCTTCCCTTGTGTGTTTTTGCCCTAATATTTCATCGTTTAGTCTTCAGTGTTTCGTGTGTTGTTTTGTAACTTTGTACCCTAGTGTTTCTTTATTTTCTAGTGTGTTTTTGATACTTTCTTGAGTTCTCTGTGTATCTTAGTGTTTCTTGATTTATGTTGTAGTTCTAGTCTCCAGTGTTTCTTGTCTTCCTGTTTCCTGCCTGTGTGTGTTTTCCCTCCAGTGTTGATTGCCCTCATTGTCTTCACTTGTGTCATTAGTCTCACCTGTGTCTGATTACCCCTGTGTCTATTTAGTCTCAGTGTTTCTTCCCCTCTGTGTCAGTTCATTGAAGTGTCCCAAAGCCAAGGAAGTGTACCGTGCCTGAGCATGATACGGAGGGGTCACACTGGACAAACTGGATTTGAAGCGTTGAAGCGTTGAAGCGTTGAAGCGTGCTTGGGCACGGCACGGTACGGCTGGCCAGTGAGACCGCGCCCTTAGTTGTCAGTCTGTTTCGGTCGTCAGTTTACTAGTGTCTCCTTGTGCTTCCTCGTGGCTAAGTAGCTTACCTCAAGCAACTTAATAAATAAAGACACATGATTTGATAATACCACAAACATAAGGGATACTGAGATAGACAATTGTTGAGTTATTTAATGTCCTTTTTATTTTTTTGTTGACATGATGCATTTAATTGTTTTATCTAGGGCTGATGTGACTATTTTTAGCTTAGCCTTTGGTGCCCTACTATTTTTTTGAACAGTTAACATTACTCTTGCAAGTTACTATACAGATGTTAAGATCTCTGCGATGTTAACAGTATAATACTAAAGAGATTACAGTGGAATAAACTAGAGTCACAATGCCATTTTTTCACCTACATTAAGTATGAATAAAGTTCTCATTCATGCTCGACCTGCTCCGACCTCCACCTCAGCTGCAAGGAAGTTGGACAGAAGGAACGCAGAGAATTCAAAGGAGAAATCCTGCATCTTATCCAATATGCTCTTTTGTAAAGCGTCTCTAGATACCACTTGTTATGAATTGGTGCTATACAAATAATGACTGATCAATTGATTGATGATATCTTGGCTTAATGCTTCTTGCAAATGATGAAGCTAATATTTGTCATTGAAAATATTTGAAATAAAATGCTAAACCCGGTTTAGAGTTGGTTAGTTCTTATACCACTTTGTTAAACTTACTTTATTACATTGTTAAATTCCTCCCGAAAAAATATCTGCTCTCCTGATCCAGTTCACTGTCCTCCCACACACCTAGAGTATATTACATGGGAGATTTCATTTAACAGGTTAACAGAGATAAAACAAGTTCCTTGTGGCTCATGTTACTTATCTTGTTCCACTGCTTTTCCACACAGAACACAAAGGCCTTTCTTGATTGCAGACAACAGTTCTATCCACAGAGGCATTCCTACAATATCAGACATGAACTGTGCAGGTGTGCTCATTGTAAAGGGTTCAAAAATGTGTATAGAAGTCATTAAAATGTGTTTTGTTTAGGCTAAAAACAAAGGTTATTAAAACGGTTAAAATGGATTACAAGATTTGAATTGTCTAAATATATGTTAAAAGTAATTGGACAGTAGAAAAGTTCATTATAGTGAAAATACAGTTCATGGCTAAAAGAACAAGTTGATTGAGTTAAAAAGTGACCCCAATATAATTTTGTATGTTTTATGTGTCTAAAATAGCTTTCTAAAGCCATATTTCAGTGCACTGAACTTGTTACAATATTATAGTGATACTCAATCAGGTCGCTAGAGGGCGCATAGCGCTGGTGAGGAGCCTAATACCCCAAAGAGGCAAAACCTGCAGAATAAACCCTGCAGCCGAGCTGAACACAGCTAAACTTTGTTTCCTCTTTGTATTTACATGCAGAAACACTCCTCCCTGGCACCGCTAGGCCAGGCCGAGGGAGCAACATCATCTTATCCAAATCAACACCCATTAGCCCAAGAATCCAAGAATATTGCCGTAAATTTGCTTGTAATTTACCCAACCTAGACTCTTGGCATTGGCAACTGGGTGTGGTGGAGAACAGCAACATCTTTGCTATGAGCCAAGATTCTTTGTGCCAGATGTAAAATATGGTCCTTAAACAATGTCAAAATCTGTGACGTCCTAAGGGCCCAAGGTTAACTGTGCTACAATTATGTTAATTTCATCAAATGCAAAATCGGAATGTGCCTTATTTAAACCGTATGCAAACTGATATAAGGTCATGAGGGAAGTTGTTACCTGCATAACAATTATTTTCCCATCTTGGTTGGATCCTAACACAACAAACAAGGTGCAGTAAGACTTCAATCTGAATAGATACTTCATATACAAACATCCATGATGCAATGATTGGGGTGAAAGCATCTCCAAGTATGGTGCAAGTGTTTTTCTTTTCTTTTTTTAAACATTTAACATAGTATGAAAATGTCATAATTCAATATTAACCAATCCATTTGCCTCTGTGCTTGTTGCTGCTGCTTGTACATTTGGTCTCTTTCTGTGTGTTAATCTTGTAGCAACATGGATCGGAGGAGGCTTCATCACTGGCACATCTGAGATGATGTGCACACCCTCTTTGGGACTAACCTGGACATTAGTGATGATGATGGCATTATGCTCCTCCTTTATAATCGGTAAGTGCTTCAAAAAAATGACATCTTACAAGACATGAAATGTCTCCATGACAAAAAAAAGCTAACGTGACAATTGGGATTTTTCCTCGTTTTATTTTAGAGTGTTTATTTTCAGTTTGAAATCGTGCCCTCTTGATTTGATTTGCAGATCGGTCGTGGCATTTCTCAAATTCCCTCTTTTGAAATAGTCCCACTTGTATTTGGATTTTCTATTCTCTGCAGAAATATTGTTTCTTGTACTGATTTTCTGTGCTCCAGATTTCCTCTCTGCACTAGGGATGCCGCCGTAGACTTCTGAAATGGCTGTTTGATCTCCAATTTGCGATCCAAAAATAAGAATTAATGTCTACTGGACAGGATCAACAATAACCAAGGATAACGAAAGAAATCAACCCAAATTCAATTTAGGTTTTCCAAGCAAACGGCAAACCAATAGGTGTTGCAGTGATGAAAGAAGGCAAGCGAACTGGTTCAGATATAACTGATTCTACCCAACCTAAAAAAGCCTCAACATTCTTTATAAGCTCCACAAGCAGAAACATGGTGAAACTATAAGATAAATATTGGAGATGCTTTTGAAAAATGGAGAGAGGTTAGAACATAGTGGTCTTAAGACCAATGCAGAGCTAAAGCTTCAGTGTCTGCAACATGGCAACCTGTTTGCACATTAGCTATAGGTAGGAGAGGACAGGGGGGTGAGACAGCTCTCTTCATTAAATTGATTTGGACTGCAGTACCCAATTTAAACGTTAAAAATAATCTTTACATCTCCAGCACTGCTTTACTTTCTAATAAATATGTCTCTGTCATTTTAACATTAAGGTGGTTTGATGTTTGCTCAGCCAATGAGAGAAAGAAACTTTGTGACAATGCTGGACCCGTTTCGTACCAAATATGGTAAAGGACTGACAACTGGACTGTGCCTGGCTTCCCTCGTCATGGATGTGGTCTGGATACCTACAACACTTATTGGTCTAGGTACATTTATTTAAAGGAAGTGTCTTTTTCTGTTTCAGTGTAATTATAATTCTTTTAAAGTTAAAGTTGCACTATCGAGTTTTGGTAGAGAAATGTAAAAGTTGGAGAAATGTACAGATTATGTGCCATATGTTCATAACTACAGTACATACACAATCTGTCCTCAGAGGAAAATGTGGCCCCTAGATCACTGTTTGAAGATAAAATGCAATGCAAGAAGTTATGATGGGGGCCCGCAAGTGTGAAACCGTAACTCCCCTGATAGCTTTTTAGCCCAGTGTTCCAGGGACCCATTTTTCCTTTGAATGAAGTTTGTGTATTTATTTCAGAAAATATAGCAAAGTCTTGTTTCACTTCTCCAGCTTTCAAATTTCACTACCAAATCTACAAAGTGCACCTTTAACTTAGCTGAAGTGAAAATGTTAATATACTATCCATGAATGTAAAATCATACTTTCATTTTGCAGATATCACTTGAATACAAAAAACATGAAATGGAGATATTCAAAGAAATACTATAAGATGTAACTGATGCAATGGGTCTGACAGGCGGAACCATGACTGTGGTCCTGGATATACCATACTCTGTGTGCATCTGGATCTCTGCTGCAATCGCCATTATCTACACACTTCTGGGAGGTCTCTACTCTGTGGCCTACACAGATATTATACAGCTTGTCCTCATATTCTTTGGCTTGGTGAGTTTCCTATAATTATTGCTTTAAGAAAGCACTTTTTACATAAGTCATCAAACAACCCATTTTTCCCCACAATTGTATGTTAATTTAATGTATGTTACATTTTCTTTGTCTCTTCAGTCTATCTGTATTCCTTTTGTATTCATGAATCCTTACACATTGGACATAAGCCAGGCACTCATGAACAACACCCAACATGATCGTTGGATTGGTAGACAAGGGCTGGAGAAGATCTGGATAATGATTGATAATTTCTTATTCCTGGTAGGGTAGCAACAGCTCAGTTAAAATTGAATGAAATTGCAACTGTCCAACTAAATGAATGCTTAAGTGTTTATATTTTGCAGCATTTACCCTATTGATATTCTACACTATAGTGATGGATATAAACAAAATATTTAAAGATATTTTTTCCTTTTCAAGACACTTGGAAATCAGGGATATCAGTGCTTCCATCAGAGGACCTTGTCAGCTTCTTCCCCGTTCACAGCCAAGCTGACATGCTTTGCTGCTGCGTTTGTGGTAATTCTATTTGTGATACCTTCAGCACTGCTTGGGTTGGCTGCTGCATCTACAGGTAAAAACCGTTACATACTTTGCTAAATTTCAACAAAATTGTGTTTATTTTTCAATCATGTCAACAAAAACTTAATGATGTAATGCTGTAAAGTCTGCATTCAACTCTTACAGTAACTACCATTCCCTCTGACTGACCGCCTGTCCTAACAGCATGCAACACAAGCGAGCGTCAGCGGTAGAGCCGGAGCTCAATTCAATTGTTTCCTATTTGAGTGCCAATTTTACACTGAAGCCCTGTTTCTATTAGCTTGTTTTACAAAGAGGAGATAGTGGTGCATTAATAATATCCATATCTGTGGTTCAGTGTTTCTCTTTGTCTCGTGGCAACACCAGAGAAAAACTTTATTCAGCTCACCGCAAGCTGTTTAATGACAGGCCTTTAAGTGTTGTGATTTGAGTCAACAGCTCATTAATACAAAGCACCATACTTTCATTTGACCAACTTAATACAAAATCACTTTTGTCACACTGTTTGCAGGGGGAAACTGAAATTCACAGTGCAATGAATTCAATATTTAACAGATGCAGTGTCGACAGCGAGTACACGCTTTTTGTTAGGACACTGTGTAAGTGTCTTTTTGCCAGGTTTTATATAAAAAAATGTGATGTCACTTTGGCTTTTTGTAGATGAACAATAATTTCATCAGCAAGCCAGTCATCTTTACATCTATAAATCAGTCAATTTAACCCAACAACAAGAATCCAAACCATGTTGATAATACAAAGAAAAAATACAACTTTTGAGTCCTTCCTTCTTCTGTTCACTTGTCGCAGATTGGAACCGGACTTCCTATGGTTCTCCATCTCCATATGAACGTGGGGAAGCAGCTTTAGTTTTGCCCATCACCCTGCAGCATCTTACCCCGTCTTTCATCTCCATTATTGCTATCGGATGTGTGGCTGCTGCAGTGATGTCATCTGCCGACTCTGCTTTGCTCTCAGCAGCTTCTGTATTCAGCTCCAACATATACAAAAACATCCTAAGGCCTCAGGTGAGAAAATGCATTCAGCTCTAAAGTTTACTGCATCACACAAACAAAAAGTGTGAACTGCACAAAGTGAAATGATTGAGTAAAACGATGGCTAATTAGCGTTTATTTTTCTCTTCCTTCTTCTTAAGGCATCAGACAGAGAGATTCATTGGGTGATTCAAGTGGCTGTTGTAGTTGTTGGCTTGGTTGGTACATCACTTACCAGCCTGAAAAGCAGCGCCATATTGTTTTGGTTCCTTGGTAATGAAGTAGCTTACGTGATCATCTTCCCTCAACTCTTCTGCATCCTCTTCTTCAACATCTCCAATGGTTATGGGGCAATCATGGGCTTTCTGGTGGGATTGGTGTTAAGACTTCTGTGTGGAGATCCATCACTTGGATTAACACCAGTCCTACACTTCCCAGGATGCACTCTTGAGGATGGTGTTTATGTCCAGTATGCTCCAGTTAAGACCATCTCCATGCTGTCTGCCATTGCTGCCATATTGATTTTCTCCTACCTGGCTTCTGTGCTCTTCAACAAAGGCCTGCTCCCTGAAAAATGGGATGTGTACAAAGTGAAAGCCCAGCACTCACCACAACCACTGCCACCAATAGATGTCACCAGTTCATTACCTAATGAAAATGAGAAAAATAATGAAAGCAACTCACATACCGAGGCATTAGAACCAATGATAAGCACAACAATGTAGTAGTGTATTCAGGACCACACATTTACTATGAACTAGTTGATTATAAGCATATCCTGTTAATAGCATACTGGGTATGGGTATGTGTATTGTAAACTACTGTGGAATGAAGTCAAAGATTTCCCAGATAAACATCTTGATATTACTAATTGAAGGTAAGTTCAGAAAAAGTTGGTACAAATGCTTTTCTCGTTTCCTGTCAAGTTCTACTGTTACAAAAACAAAATTTCCCTTAGTCTTTCTAAATGTGATATTCCTTATCTTTCATTCTGACAAGTTTTCTGTTTACATTGCATGTTGCTGCTAAAAATATATATATCATTTTTAAAACAAGTAACCCCAAGCAATATTATCTTAGATTTTCAATTGGATTAATTGATGTATTTATTTTAATTACAAGTTAAAGGATAAAAAATCAGTCTATCTGCAAATACATTGCTGTTTAAACACTCGACAACTCAAAACCTTTTAATGAAGAAATGATTTGCCCAGAATGAGGCAGAAGAAATATGTTTAAGTTTAGTTGATTGAATTAGTTAACTCTTAAAGTTGACCTGAAAGATTTGTATCTCTTGCCTATGTTAAGTGTGTGTTGGATTGTACCCACATGAGGCGTATAAAAATGTGAGTGTATGTGTTTTGGCAACAGTACATAACTGCAAAATCTGTAAAATGTGGCGCAGGGTGTCCTAGCAGACGTGCAACAGCATGCTACAAGAAGGCAAGGCAAGAGAAGTTCTTCACACAAGACATCAAAAGCATCATGACAGAGGAAAGAAAAGAAACATTAAAATAGAACATTAAAAAACAAATTACTGGAATTATTCAATCTGAACACATGTTCAAATAAAAATTATTCAAATGAAATTAATTGAAATAAATAAAGTAAAAATATAAAAAGAGTTCAAAGTTACAGTGCAGAGTTAAAATTTAAAATTATGTTTAAATTGTTTAATGACAGGCAGCTGTGAACAGGTGTGTCTTCAAACTCAATTTAAAAGAGCTGAGAGTTTCAGCAGACCTGCAGTTTTCTGGGAGTTTGTTCCAGATATAAGGAGCATAGAAACTGAACGCCGCTTCTCCGTGTTTGGTTCTGACTCTGGGGACAGAGAGCAGACCTGTGTAAAGACCTCAGAACTGGACTGATGTGATCCATTTTCTTGGTTTTGGTGAGGACTCTAGCAGCAGCGTTCTGGATCAGCTGCGGTTGTCTGACTGATTTTTTTAGGCAGACCTGTAAAGACACTGTTACAGTAATCAAGATGACTGAAGATAAAAGCATGGACAAGTTTTTCCAGGTCCTGCTGGGACATCAGTCCTCTAATTCTTCATATGTTCTTCAGGTGATAGTAGGCTGACTTTGTAATTGAAGGCAACATACCTGCAACATCAGGACCAACAAAAACCAAACAACAGTATCACAGTACTTCGTACCTCAAGCATTTCTTAATACAATAAGAAAATTGTTCAATACAATATTGATAGTATCATTTATGATTTCATGAGAAAAAAAAAAAAAAAAAGACAGACAGAAGGACAGAATAAATTAATCAAATTCTTACTGTTTATCTAATTAAAATTGATATAATTGTACACGGTCCAGCACGCAGACACATACCCAATCCAAAGATTCTGCATGATTAAAAAATTGGTAATCAATTGTGCATACATACCTGTATCAGCCTTTACACTGAAGTTTTACATTTGCAGATTATTTCTGAAAACAGTGTTCAAGCACTTCAAACTTTAAGTATGATTCTTAATAATTTATTAAAACAATGTTTTAATCAAAAGGATGTTTTACCAGTTGTGAGTGAGAGTGTAGTGAGTCTGTTGTTACTCCTTCTGTAGCTTTGACATTGGAGCAGCAAAAGGCGCTGTTGTTGTTGCAAATGGAGAGAAATAAATTGGGCATTGAAAGGGGAAGGCTTAGGCAGTCATTAGAAAAGGAAAAGTTAGATTTGTAGCATTACTGGTCAGATCTTATCAAGGCTGGTAGATTGTCAGGTAATGCTGTTAATGAGTTTTCAGGTAAGCCTGTAGCATCGGTTGAACAAGGTTCAAAGATGTTAACTTGCATCTTGCACCAAAGTTTGATGAGAGAGCCTTTCTTCTCTCTTTTATCAGCGTGTTGCCAACGGGAGTGGATGGCCTGAATCTGACCAGGTAGTTATGTTGCAGTCAGTTTTATCAGGAAAGGCCCAGGAAGCTTATTCAGCACTCAGAACAGTATACTGTCAAATATATATGTTAAAGAAGCAGTTTTGAAGGCTTATGAGTTGGTAGCAGAGGGTTTTCTGCAACATTTTAGGTCCTTGAGAAAGTCTGATAAGCAGTCACAAGTTGACAATCTAACTAAACATTTCAACAGGTGGTCCTCTGTTTAAAAGGTTAACACACTGTTGGAACAGTTTACAGATTGCATTCCACCCGAGGGTGCGTCTCATATCGCTGAGCGAGTTGTAAAAACTGCTTATGAAGCTGCCACTCTGTCAGACGAGTGTGCTGGCCCATTCAGGTACATTTATAAAAAAAAATATATATATATATCTTTTAGATAATGTTAATGCTAAAGTTAATGGTCATCTGGCAAAAATGTCTTGGTCTGAGTATTCTCAGATGAACCACGTGGCCAACGTTCAGTTGTTTTGGGTCTAGTTTGTAATTAATGCCATGAAAAGGGGCATTGGAAGGCTGATTGTCCTAACCTGAAAAGCAGAAGGCACACCCACTGTAAATATGTTAAACCTGCTGCTCTCTGTGTTCCTGTTAGAGATGTTCCAGTTCAGCCAGGACGACTTTGTCAAGAAAATTACTTTATTGCAATTATATATATTTGGCGGTATGGCTCTGTCTGGGATCTCCCTGCCCTTCCTTACGTGGAAAGCATTAGGCAGGAACAGCAAACATTCCTGCCCTTCCCGTGCATACAAGGAAAGCTATAAGGCATGGAGATAAGCAGCAAACCCAAACAGAGCAAGCATCAATGACAAGCACGACATTGATTAAGTCAGAATAGCAGAAAAGGAGGAGCTGGGGAGGAGGAGGGATGCAAAACTAGGCATGCTAGAGCAGTTTAAATAAGGCGGCATATGTACTATTTGGCCAATAGGACGCTTTTAAGCAAATCAGCTGGACATCAGCTGATGCGGCTTGTGTGAGATCAGCTGTTACCAGAACTCTGGCATGATAGTTGAGCGTGACTCTGTGACCTGCCTGAACTAACCCTACGCTTCATTTGTCTCAGAAAATTCAGTTGATTCAGTTAAAAATGAAACCGAGAGGTATTCTGGTTATGAAGCTTTTTCTGTCAGATGGGTTTGTAGCATTCTGGGTGGTGATAGTAAGGTGCCTGTTAAAATCCTGTGAGATACAGGAACAAAATATGAATTATCTTGCTTCTTGTCATGATTTGTTCTTAAGTTTTATATTTTGTTAATTCCAGTGTTTAGTATTCATTTCCTGTTTTATTTTTTTTCATCCCAAGGTGTTGCTTTAATCCCTGTGTAAAGTTTCTTGTGCTTCCAGATTTATTTTCTTATTTGAACTTTATTTGAATCCTCATGACTATGACTATAGCAAACAGGTATACCATGCTTCTCTTGCAATGGCCATGTGTTGAGAGGTAAAATTCCCAAGGGGAGGAATTAGGGTCAGAATATCCTCAAAAAGATACCAGTGAAGATCATCCCTCAACGGCCAGAAAAAAAAAAGTCAACCCCCACTCTGTGCATACATTTCCCTTGGCAGTGGGTTTCATTCATCGCTTGGATAATCCCTCAGTTGATAGTGTGGTCACTGCTGTGCTGTCTCTCATTCGTAGGGCTGAAGGAAAGCACTTGGTTAGGAGTATTTTTCCACCTGGTGGAGCCTCATAGTGATTGGTTACGTAAAAGCTCATTATCCATCTTCTTAAGCGATGGTCTTTGTACCCAATACAGGGAGAAGGGTGATTTCTTCCTGTTTAACACTGAATTGAGAAAGAGAGGATTTGAGAGTGGCACCTGGAATTTTTTCTAAGCGAGCCTCTGCAACAGAGTTCCTGATGGTGTTGGAGGGATGTTAAACAAGTCAGCTTGTAAATACAGAGAATGACGTCCCTAATGCTGCCACACCCTACAGAGCACTACTGACAACTGGCACCACAGTGAAGCTTTTTTTGTTTTTTTTAAGATTTATTTTTGGACTTTTTGTGCCTTTAATGGAGATATAGGACAAGCTGGATTCAAACCAGGGCCGCCCACTTGGAAGAGTATGGCCTCCATACATGGGACACGCTCACTAACCATAACCACTGCACCACCGGCGCCCCAAACCACAATGAAGCTTTTATGTCGAAACTGATAACATTTTGGATGCATACCATATCATGCCAGCAACTGTCTCATTGTGTCCCCAGTGTGATTACACCAGGTGGTCACCAACAGAAAAGGCCATGTGATCTCCAGGGATGTAAGCCGTCTGTGTGCCACATTGAACAACCTGTCCTATGGTCTGCCAGCGCCACACACTACGCTGTAGTTCGCTGCCAGTCTTGTCAATCATCACAGCGAGCGCAGTGGTCCACTCTGGAGCGTGCCACCAGCGCCACTACGTCTCTGCTCTGTTTCAAATGCGCTGCCAGTCTATTTTCAACGGAGTACGCCGCAGGCACTCGTCAAGCTGGACAGAATATGACAACCCGGACAGGAAGTCAGACAAGGAAATGTGCTTATCGTCCAGTCAATTTCCAAATAAAACACAATATACAGACTTGTGATCATATTTTTCATCACTTTATCAACATTATGTCAAAACAGGCACCAAACGGACAACAACTCATCCTCAGAAAGACAAAGCAACACGTTTGCACGTCTTTCTCTTCTCATAAATGTATTGTCATGATGGTTCACAAGGTTCAACAGAGAATTATATTCTAAGTTAAATATAAAGAAAAAACACAGTAGAAAGTTATGTAGACCAAGAACTCTTTCTATGTATGATTTTGTGATTGTTGCTGTGAACATGTTTACTCATTTTGTGACTACACTAAAC